TCTGAATCCCATTTTCTGATTATAATAATAGTTATATGGCAGATGGGTTCTCACTGTTTACAGACCTCTTTAACCCATTGATTATATAAAAACAATATACAGTTTTAGTGCTTCTATGAATAATCCATAAAGCTATAGCTAGCTAACACTTAATTGAGACAAACTTGTGTATCTTTTTATCTGTTTATAGTAATAAGCTAAATTCTTCATGCACCGAAAGGTCTCAGTTTCACCAAATCTGTAAATTAATTTATATTCTTTTTGACCGGCATCTATAGACTATACCTAGGCATATTATGACAATCATTATCAACATGTGTAACACATGTCAACAAAATTCTATGATATCATGAAGGTTAGATTGGGAGGAATATGATAACCAATATTCAGGCACTTATGTTAATTTTCCATCAAACTTTCAAATTTTCTGCATAATGCATGTCCTACTACATTAATCTTAAAGTATTTAAAAATAGTTTAATATAGAAATAAATGAGGCAAAACTGTGAAATATGTAGATAATAATCTCCTCAATTTATAAAATCTCAAAGATCTTGTAACAACCTCAAATCTCTGACATAAAATATGCAACACATATTTATATTTATAAACATTGTTATATGAATTATATAAGTAGAATTAAGAGAGAAACAATTACGAGATAACTAAATAAACTGTAAAATCAAACATAAGCAAAGCAAGACAGGGGGGAAGAGATCCTGATGGGTAGTGAACAAGAAGATCTTAAAGTCAAGCACGCGAGAACCCCAGTGACAAACCTCCGTCCGGTTTACCGGGAAACTGGAATTTCCAGTGGCTTAACTTAACTACTTTTCTTTTCCCCTTCCCTTCCCTACTACTATGCTTCTGCCTTTCCCTCTTCTTTCTCTTCTTCTCTTCTTCATCCTCCTTTGAATTCTAAATTCTTTCAGATTCTGGGGTTATCGTGAAACCACCGTTTAAATCTTGGACAAGTTATTATTACAGTTTCTGACAGCTTTATTGTGGGGTTGTAAATATGCCTTCTTTTTAAGTTGTTTTCAAGGCTCAGCTAAGTGCATTGTATATACGAAAAAGGCTGGCTTTTTGTTTTAATTATATTGAATGGAGTAGGAGGAGTTAGTTTATTATGTCTGTCGGATTGTGGGGGGGAATGGCTGTTTCACACAAACACATAGCCAGATGGATGCCAAAAGTGTGTAATGGGAAGTGTCAGCAATTCAATTGAGGAAATGATGGAGTTTGGACATTCCAATCAAATCTCTCGGGAAACCCCCCAGGAGTCTCTCTACTGGTCAGGCATTGCAGTAGCTCTGCTTTTTGTCTGAACCGGTAGTAAAATCTTTATCTTTTTTCAATTGGGTATGCTCAGCAGTTAAGTTTTATCAATTGGGATGATGATTTTTTATGATTTGGGTTAAGAATTTTTTTGTAGTGGTGTGTTTGTTTGTGTAGAAAAGATATGTGAGAATTTCATGGAAATTTTGTGGGGATCCTTTTGATTCTGCTCATGAAAAAATAACAGCATTTTGCCATAGAATTTGTTGAAATTAAAGGGTTATTCTCTCAAAAACATCATAACATAAATCAGGAAAAAAGATTTTTTCTCTGATTCACTTTATGCCAAAAGTAATTCTGAAAATGTTTAAAATGGAAAATCAAATGCTGATTTTCTCTAATCTTGATACCGAGTAAGTAACACACATATAGGATTAGGACAGAAAGATGCAACCATGGCAAAATCTGAAATTCCTACAGCAAAGTGCTTGCTGGAAGTGGTATAACATTCTCTTTGAAGCGGTGCCATAATGCCCCATGATTATTTGAGCCCAAAACCGCTGCGTCTATTATCTGTCTGCTAATCTGGTTTATTCTGTGTGCTTCTGTGTGTACGTATGTGTGTGGATGGTTTGTTAGCTAAGGGGAACGCATATTTCTCAGTAGTTTCTTGATTAGTCTTTATAAACTTATCTCAGCCCATTGCTTTGATACCTGAGAATGAGAAACAGATTTGATTATTCTCACTGCCGTGAATGTGGAATAAGATTTATCTAAATATTTTCACTCTTTCTTCATGCAGGAACTAGAAAAGGAATTACAGGCTTAAAGCTACTGCCAGCTGATATCTGTGTTTTCACCTGTATTTCGTTCAGAAGCTATTCTGAGAAAGGACCAAAACAGTACATGGAGATGAGTTCATCTGTGTTGACAATCTTCGTGAAATCTTCCTTCATCTTCAAATTCCTCTTCTCCCGCAGCATTTTATGGGTATTAGCTGTGCGTTCCGTTGAAATACTTGTGATATATAGATGAAATCTCTGTTAATTTCATAATGACAGTTTTGGGGCATGACCAAACCAAGACATATGTGGCAATCTGTAACACTAAAATGATAATTACCTTGTATCCGAGTTCAATAGGTTGTGCACTGAAACATTTGCTCATAACTGCAGGTGTTTGATGGACATGGTGGCATCGATGCAGCAACTTTCACCAGAGTACATCCTCAAGTTTATAGTCGAAGACTCCCACTTCCAGCCGGCATAAAAAGGGTGTTAAGAATGCTTTTGCCAGGCTGACATGCACTTGCAGATGCCAAGTCTCTTGATAGTCCTCCGGCACCACTGCCTTGCTGTTTGTTGGACAGGTGTGGTCTTCATAGTTATAATCGACACATCCATAACTTCTGAATGTTGTTTGACACCAATCTTACAGAATGATGCTGATAGCCAATGCTGGAGATTCTCGAGCGAGCATAGTAGGCAAAGCTGGAAGAGCAATCGAATTGGCAAAATCATAACCCAAGTGTAACCTCCGAAAAGAAAAGAATCGAAAATAGGAGGTGTTATATACGACGTGTATTGAATGGCCAATTATCAGTAGCCGCGCTACTTGGAGACTGGCACATAGGGCTCAAAGGGTCAAATTGTCCCTCTAAGTTCAGAGCCAGAGTAGGAGAAATAATCCGGACGAAGAAGATGGATTCCATATCTTGGGGTGTGATGACTTGGATGTATGAGTAGCCAATGTGCAGTGACAATGGTGAGGAAAGCGCTAATGCAACATAATGATCCGAAAAGTGCTCAAGGCACTTGTGAAGAAGCTCTCGCGCAACCCATGTGACAATCTTACAGTTGTAGTAATCTGTTTTTCTGCAATCCACCTCAAGCATTGAAATTCCTAAATATCATAGAAGAAGAAGTATATCAGTGAAGGCCTGGATCATCTTAGGGCGCCTTGAATAGCTTATGAGCACGGTAGACTTGTTATGTAATTTTTTGTTTTGTTTTTTTTTTTTGGTTGTTGTTGTTGTTGACATGACTTAATGTAAGTCTTTTAACAGTTTTGGTAGTGTTTGTATTTTTGAGTTAATGGTGATATTCAAACATGTTATCTAATGAGAAATAATTCTTCTTCTCTTAATATGCTGAATGGATTGCATTTATTCTCACTGTAATGTCAAATGTGTGTACCACTGTGGAGAGCATAAATGACGTAGGTGTGATCAAATAGCAAGACTTTGGGTTGTCAGACTCTAGAGATCTTATGTTCGAGTCCTCCAAAGTGGTTATTTATTATAATTGTGACTTACTTGGCTTATTGAGGATTAGTTGAAATACACACAAGTTTTACCTGACCCATTAGATTTGTAGAGTATTCAATAGACCCTATAGATTAGTTAAGGTACACAAAAACTTTTTCTGGCCCATTGGGTTTGTAGGGTATCAAATGGACTTTGGTAGAATGTTCAATGAACTCCAGAGATTAGTTAAAGTAGGTACAAGCTTTACTTAGCTCATTGAGCTTATAAGATATTCAATGAATTCCGAAATTAGTTAAGGTACGCACAAACTAGCTCAAACATCTCGATTACCCCAAAAAAAAAAAAAAAAAAAAGGAACTGAGTTAACTAGTCAAAGAAGTTGCAATATGAATAAGGGCATATGCATAATAAATGATTGTATTTATTCCCATTATTTTGTGTCTAACATTACCATTGTTGAGAATAAAAACAACTTACCTGACCCATGAAATTTGTAGGTATTCAATAGACCCCGATGACTTACTTAGTCCATTGAGCTTGTAGGGTTCAATAGACCCCGATGACTTACCTGGCCCCTTAGGTTTGTAAGATATTCAATGGTCCTTAGTGACTTACCTAGCCTATTGGGCTTGTAGAGTGTTCAATGAACCCCGGACTTGTAAGGTGTTCAATGAACCTTGGTAACTTAATTGGCCCATTGGGCTTATAAGGTGTTCAATAAACCCTATGATTACTTGAGGTACGCACAAGCTTTACTTAACCCATTGGACTTGTAGGGTGTTCAATAAACCCCATAAATTATTTGTGGTACGCACAAACTTTACTTGGCCTATTGGACTTGTAAGGTGTTTAATAGACCCCAGTGATTAGTTAAGGTACACACAAATTAGTTCGGACAACCCAGTTACCAAAAAAAAAAAAAAACTCGGTTAACGAGTCAAAGAAGTTGCAATATGAATAAGGGCATATGTGTAATAAATTATTGTATTTATTCCCATTATTTTGCGTCTAACATTACCATTGTTGAGAATAAAAACAACTCTTATCTTTCTTTTCTTAAAGAAGAAATTTGTTTTCATAGAATAGTATTACACATACAATATTCTCATACAATATTTTTCATACAAATGACAAAAGATGATTAGGTAAAAGTTTAATTTTAATTTAAAATCAATCAAAAGATGATTGGACGAAAGTTTAATTTTAATTTAAAATCAATTAATTATATTTTACCACGTAATATTATATAAAAATGACATTTACATGCATCATTGTTGAGATTAAATATGATATCATTTTTCTCTTTTTAAAGAAAAATAAATAGCACATGATATGGGCTGGGCCTGGGATTCTCAAGCCCAACCCCAAGTTTGAGAAATTGCAAATAAACCCTCTTTGTCTCAAACTCAAGCAACTTACATTGCTCTCAGTTTACACTCCAAAACCCTCAGGCTACATGGCAACTTTAAAAGAGATCCTCACTCGCCGCCCGGTCGCCGCCACGATCAGGCTGACGGTGCCAGCCGGTGCCGCAAGGCCGGCTCCTCCGGTGGGTCCAGCTCTGGGTCAGTACCGACTCAATTTAATGGCTTTCTGCAAGGATTTCAATGCCCGTACACAAAAGTACAAGCCAGACACGCCGATGGCGGTGACGATTACGGCGTTCAAAGACAACACCTTCGAGTTCACTGTTAAGTCTCCTTCAGTCACGTGGTACCTTAAAAAGGTGGCGGGGATCGAGTCCGGTAGCGGCCGGCCTGGGCACGTGGTGGCCTCGACGTTGTCGCTTAAACATATTTATGAGATAGCAAAAGTTAAACAGTCGGACCCGTATTGCCAGTATATGCCGTTGGAGAGTATTTGTAAGTCCATTATTGGGACTGCCAACAGTATGGGGATTAAGGTTGTTAAGGAATTGGATTAAATTACATCAGTGTTTAGGGTTTTGTCTAAACAAAAATTTTGAAATGTTTGTACTTTTTTTATTCGGTGGATACGAATTGTTTTTGTTTTCTTAAGCTTTGATTTTTATGGGTTGTACCTCCCATTTCTCTAGTTAACGTTTATCAATCACACATTTTATGTGACTAAGATAATGTAGTGTATATTGCATAGTTTTTTATTCTGTTAGCCGTCTGTGTTATGAAAATGATATTGTGGTTACTATGACCCTTTGATTTTGTAGCATTCTCATGCATGATCTTAACATGGCGTGGTTAGGCATGGACATTGCCTTCTTTTTGGTTTTCCAAGAGTTCAGGCAAATGGTTGTTTTAATATCCTATGATTAATATGATTTTTAGCTTGAATTAACAGAGATCTATGCTGTGTATGGTGCCAGTTTGCTGAATATGTTGTCGATATTTGAGGGAGAATATTTGTTCTTGGTTAATGTTTCATCTTGAGGTGAATAAGTTGTGTTTGTATATTTTTTTTTCTTAAGTTCTGCTTTAATGGAAGTACTCCCCATTAGTGTAGTTCCATACCTATCATACACAGATCACACATCCCAGTCAGTGAAATGATTTTATTTACTATTCATATTTCGTTACTCCATTAAATTTTGAGGTGTTTGGAAATTTACATTGTAGGTTACAGCAACCCATTTGATTCAGTAGGACTAACCTGCATTATGCAAAGTCACAAGATTAGGCACTGTCAATGACTTCATTTGCACTTTAATAGATAGATGGTGAAATTTCAAGGGCTGTTGTTACTTTAATGTTCATTGAAATATTGGATTCAGTGCAAAGGTTATTTTGATATCTTGATTTAATGGAGATCTAATGTAGAAGTGTAATCCCCATCAAGCTAGTTAACATTTATCAATCACCTATTTTATGTTACTAAAATGATGATTTGTACATTTCATATGTGGTTACTTTGTTAATAATTGTGTTGCCGAAATGACATTTTGGTTACCATAATTTGTCGGTTTTGTGGCATTCTCATGCTGATCTGAATGTGGTAAGATTAGGCAGTGGACACTGATTTCATTCCATTTTTCAAAGGTAGTTGTTACTTTAGTGTTCATTGACTTGGTCGGTTCTGGAAAAAGGTTGCTTCCATATTGGATACGATTTTGAAGTTGGAATAATGGAGATTTATTATGTGACATCTGCCAATTTGCTGAATATGTTATCAAATTTTGAGGGAAAAATTCATTCATAGTGTGTTTTGTCAAGCAATTTCAATGGTTTTTAGCATATCATGAGGTTGCTGAAAAATAACTTCGGAGTAGTGGTTTAAACACTTGAACTAGATTTGCTGAAGGAGATGATACTGGTAGTTTTTTCTTCATATATTATTTGCTTGGTTGATATGGACATTGTGTGGCTCTATATCCTAGATTTCGCTGGATGCTAAATAAATTTCTTGGTTTATAGCTTTGAAGAATTATCTTTGGGTTTTGATTCTTAAGTTTGCTGGACTTAGCTCCTACTTTATCGTTGGAACTCAATCATCTATTGTCTTGTTTTTCTATTCCAACCTCCTTAGCATTACATCACAAATTGAATGCTAGAGATAGCTTTTTTTCTTTCGGGCATTTTTTTTTTTTTTTCTCCTATTGCTTGCAGTGTAATAGAAATTTGCTTTGTTTAAGCATGTTGAGTTTGTATTTCTTCTTGATTTTCTGGGTTTAGCAGCAAATCTTGGTATATTGTTTTAATATACAGTCTACTGGCCTCTGCTTGTGACCATTGATGGTTCCACCAGCTGCAATCTTTTCGTTCCTTGACTGATCTCTGAACAAATCATCTCCTATCTCTTTGTCTAAGACAAGAATTTGAATTGATTAAAATTCAAACTAATTAAGGAGAATGTCAACTTTATCAAGCTTAATGTGTTTGCTAAATTATTCATGCCAACTTTATCAAGCTTAATGTGTTGCTAAATTATTCATGCCCATATTATTGCTGTGATCACTTCATATCTTGTGAGTTATGAACTGACTAGCGACAGCAAGTTCCTGTCAAGTGGCAATTTTGTCAAGTTTTTGTCACCTATCATTCCATTAGGAACTGCAGATTTTTTGGTACTCAACAAGATATATTTACTTTTTTGTATAAATTAAGTACTCCATGTGCAAAATCCACCAGCCAGCAGCTTCCACACAAGTGAGTTTGCTAAGAGCAGTGGGTGATAAATGTGGAAAGAGTTCTATTTTGATGAAAGGGTTTTGTATAAACTCCATTACATCACAATTTGGATTAGTCAACCAAACATGAAAGAGTGATTTTTTACTTCATTTTTCAGTTTTGAATGGACTGAACTGAAGTCTTGTAAGCTTCCTTTTAAGTTGTGAAGTAACGAAGTATCGACTCTGAAACACTCCAAGAAGAAGAAGTGAGTCAGTTAAGAAAGTCGTAATTAACCATTGGAAAGAGCGTCCAAGAACTTCCTCAATGCTCAATATCTCAAACCCTTTAAAGCTTAGACTAATAAAAGCTACTACTTGTCTTAACCCACTTCTCACCTCGCAATCAAAACCCAGTTCCTCGTCATCCTTTCCAGTGCCAACTCACGAACATATAGCCCGTCTCATTTTAGATCAAAAATCAGCCTCCCAAGCTCTTCAGACATTCAAATGGGCTTCAAAAGTCCCAAATTTCACCCACTCACAATCCACTTACCGTGCTTTGATCTACAAATTATGTGCATTCCGTCGCTTTGACACCGTCAAGGAACTGCTTGATGAAATGCCCCACTCAATTCAATCACCCCCGGATGAATCTATTTTCATCACAATTGTCCGCGGTCTTGGCAGGGCGCGGATGATTAAAGAAGTTACTAAAGTCGTTGATTTGGTTTCAAGGTTTAATAAGGCGCCATCCCTTAAAATTTTTAATGCCATTCTTGACGTTCTTGTTAAGGAAGATATTGATTTGGCAAGAGCATTTTATAGGAAGAAGATGATGGCAAGTGGGATTCAAGGTGATGAATACACGTATGGTATTTTGATGAAGGGTCTTTGCTTGACTAACAGGATTGGTGATGGTTTTAACCTCTTGCAAGTTATGAAATCTCGGGGTGTAAAGCCGAGTAGTGTGATTTATAACACGTTGCTTCATGCACTTTGCAAAAATGGAAAAGTTGGGAGGGCAAGGAGTTTGATGAATGAGATGCAGGAACCCAATGACGTAACTTTTAACGTGTTGATATCTGCTTATTGCAAAGAAGAGAATTTAGTTAATGCTCTTGTGTTATTGGAGAAATGCTTTAATTTTGGCTATGTACCTAATATTGTCACTGTTACTAAGGTTGTGGAACTTCTATGCAATGCAAGCCGTGTAACGGAAGCTGTTGAAATTTTTGAGAGAGTAGAGAGCAAGGGAGGTGTAATTGATGTCACTGCTTATAACACCTTGATAAAGGGTTTTTGTAGATTAGGGAAGGCGAAAGTTGGGCATCGGTTTTTGAAAGAGATGGAGAGGAAGGGTTGTCTTCCGAATGCAGACACATATAATATATTGATTTCTGGTTTTTGTGAATCTGAGATGTTGGATTTAGCTCTTGATATGTTTAATGATATGAAAACAGATGGGATCAATTGGAACTTTGTTACATATGATACATTAATTAAGGGTTTGTGCTCAGGAGGGAGGATAAAAGACGGGTTTAAGATTTTAGAACTGATGGAGGATGGTAAAGAGGGTTCCAAGGGCCGCATTAGTCCATATAATAGTGTGTTGTATGGTTTGTACAAGGACAATCAACAGGATGAAGCACTTGGGTTTCTAACAAACATGGAAAAGTTATTCCCAAAAGCTGTTGATAGAAGCTTAAGGATATTAGGCTTTTGTGAGGATGGTAGCATAGATAACGTGAAAAAGGTCTTCAATCAGATGACTGAAGAAGGGGGAGTTCCAAATGTTCTTGTTTATGATTGCTTAATCCATGGTTTTTGCCGAAAAGAGCACGTGCGAGAAGCATTTGAACTAATGAATGAGATGATTGAGCATGGCTATTTTCCAGTTGCATCGACATTCAATGCTCTGATTAGTGAGTTTTGCAGGCAAGGAAATGTTGTGACAGCTTTGAAGCTGATGGAGGATATAGTAAGGAGAGGCTCTGTACCTGATAGAGAAAGTTATAATCCTTTGATTGATGCTTTTTGTAGGAAGGGAGATATCCAGAACGCTCTGAAGATCTTCTCACACATGGTGGAGAAAGGTCTCCTTCCAGATTATTCAACATGGAACTCTTTGCTTCTTTGTCTTAGTCAACAAACAATATGGTTAGAGAGCAAGAATATGTCCAATCTAAACAAATTATTGCAATAGATTATAAAGACTTGAATCATCATTCTTGGAGCTATAGCACTTACATATTATCTGCAGTGGTATTTTGATGTGTTATTATCACCATCAGTGATGCCCCAAATGGTTTTAACTGGTCATTAATGAACAAAACTGTCAAAATTCTAGAACAGAAAGGTATAATATCACAAGAGTTCTTGCTTACTTATCAAATTTGTCATGTCACTTTCTCCGCATAACAGTTTTAAAGAAGTGGTAAGGAGTTTTAGTTTTACCATTAAAATGAAATCTTCTATACAATGGATGTTCATACAACCAACTAATCATAAGACGTGTTTATGTTATTCTTGTTGATGTAATACGTCATTATTAGTTAATTGTATACATAATATAGCATTAGTGCATCAAATAGACATATAATTAACTAATAAGAGTTTGTCTATATAACTTATTTGTGAGTGGTCCAGATAGTTAAGATGGATTGGAGATGATATGAATAAACATATGGTTTCAAATTTAATTATCTAACAATAAATTATTGTGTTAATTTCTACTTAAAATTAATTGAAATATGTGTAAATGGACTTATTTGATTATAAGATGGTTTCCTGCCTATATAATAGAAAACAAAGTGAATTGATATACGTAATATAAATGATAAGATGACTTGCCTCTATACAAAGATAAGAAAGAAGAATCAAAGACAGGCAGGCAACCTGGTCCAATAAGACTGAGCCATAACGTGTACGGATAGTAAT